AATTAAGTTTGTTGAAGGTCATGTGATGATCCTAAACGTTAAACCTCTTGTAATGATGAGTGCTATCAACGTTAAATGAAAGGATCGCATGTTCAAATCTCCAAATAACTTCAAATAATATCAAGATAATGACAAAATCTACCTAATTAAGTAGAAGAAGTAATACACTTGAAATGATAGATAACTAATAACGTTAATAAAACTGTCTAGTCACATTTTAAGTCAAATAATTAAGTTTGTTGAAGGTCATGGGATGTTCCTAAACATTAAATATCTTGTAATGGTAAGTGTTATCAACGTCAAATGAAAGGATCGCATGTTCGATCAAACCTCCAAATAATTCAAAATAATATCAAGATAATGACAAAATCTACGTAATAAAGTGGAAGAAGTAATACACTTAAAATGATAGGTAACTAATAACGTTAATAAAGCTGTCCAGTCACATTTTAAGTCAAATAATTAAGTTTGTTGAAGGTCATGTGATGTTCCTAAACATTAAACCTCTTGTAATGATGAGTGTTATCAACGTCAAATCAAAGGATCGCATGTTCAAACCTCCAAATAACTCCAAATAATATCAAGATAATGACAAAATTTACCTAATTAAGTAGAAGAAGTAGTACACTTGAAATGATAGATAACTAATAACGTTAATAAAACTGTCTAGTCACATTTTAAGTCAAATAATTAAGTTTGTTGAAGGTCATGTGATGTTCCTAAACATTAAATCTCTTGTAATGATAAGTGTTATCAACGTCAAATGAAAGGATCGCATGTTCAAACCTCCAAATAACTCAAAATAATATCAAGATAATGTCAAAATCTACCTAATAAAGTAGAAGAAGTAATACACTTAAAATGATAGATAACTAATTAATAACGTTAATAAAGCTGTCTAGTCACATTTTAAGTCAAATAATTAAGTTTGTTGAAGGTCATGTGATGTTCCTAAACATTAAACCTCTTGTAATGATGAGTGTTATCAGCGTCAATTGAAAGGATTGCATGTTCAAACCTCAAAATAACTCCAAATAATATCAAGATAATGACAAAATCTACCTAACTAAGTAGAATAAGTAATACACTTGAAATGATAGATAACTAATAACGTTAATAAAACTGTCTAGTCACATTTTAAATCAAATAATTAAGTTTGTTGAAGGTCATGGGATGTTCCTAAATACTAAATATCTTGTAATGATAAGTGTTGTCAATGTCAAATGAAAGGATCGCATGTTCAAACCTCCAAATAACTCAAAATAATTTCAAGATAATGACAAAAATCTACCTAATAAAGTAGAAAAAGTAATACACTTAAAATGATTGATAACTAATAACGTTAATAGAGCTGTTCAATCACATTTTAAGTCAAATAATTAAGTTTGTTGAAGGTCGTGTGATGTTCCTAAACATTAAACACTTAAAATGATTGATAACTAATAACGTTAATAGAGCTGTTCAATCACATTTTAAGTCAAATAATTAAGTTTGTTGAAGGTCGTGTGATGTTCCTAAACATTAAACACATGTAAGATAGAAGTCAATTGTAAGAGTTCCAAGGAAGAATGTTAAGCAGTGCAGTCACCATCAAAATACTCTTGCGACCTTTTTTTTTTTTAATAGTAGTTGAATGAGAAGTTTTTAAAAAAGATACTCTTGCTCCTTTACTTGCGTATTCGCACACGATACACGTGCAAATAAGATCTTGATCAATATCATAATAATATTTCAAATGAACACTTCCAAACGCGTAAAGCATGTGACATGTGCCAAACTATTCTAAAAATTTTATAAATAAACGCTAAGATTGACTAAACTATATATATTTATGGTGAAAAATTCGTTGGTTGATTTTCTATTTGCATGTACAGGTAGTATAGCAATAATATTCCAAATAAAACTCCCAAACGCATAAAGTATGTTACGCATGTAACATGTACGAAACTATCCTAAAATTTTTATAAATAAAACGCTACGTTTGATTAAACTATCTCTTTGGTGAAAACTCATGATTTTGTTTCTATATACATGTGCAGATAGCACTGCTAACAGTGAGAAAACTTTACTAAGAACCACTGTGCCATTATTCTAGTTGGTAAAACTTCTTCTCCCTCAAAAATGCGAATCACATAATAGGCGTGCGTCTTTGAATCATAGTCATGAAATTTCAAGGAGGTCAACTTGATACAAGTGGAGACTGAAATAAAAAATTAGTAATCCTTTTAATGCTTTATAGTATTAATTAGTCAGAATTTAAAAGAAGATAGAAAAGAGATAATTACAAGTTTAAAAGAACAAGAAAAGAGTGCTGGAAAAGAGAAGTTATTGAAGTAGGATTTACTTCCAAATTCTACTTTAAGAAATGGAGTTTTTACTAGTTGTGCCCTAGAGAGAGGTATGCGTCTCTTTTTCGTGTAGTTTGGTGGTTTGTTGGTTAATAAAATTAGTTCAGGAAAGAAAAAAAAAAATAAAGAAAAAAAGTGGAATGTACTCAATTAATAAAATGTGTACTCTAAATTTAATACATATTTTTTGGGTCCGGTAAAATAACTTGTACAAATTCCTGCAAGTCAGAGAAATATAATGGTGTTGACTTCAATAGTTAGCGGAAGAGTTGTCCTATGATTCCTATCTCAAGATAAATTAGGTTGAAAGTAGAACGCAAATATTTGCTTGGTTCAGTTTTTTTAGAACAACTTTTAACTAATTGATAATTAAAAATTAAAAAACTGTATAAAAATTTGCTTGTCGGACAGTTTTTTATTAATGTTTTTTGAACATTTAGTTAAGGAAAAGACTGTTTTTATAAAACTATATTTTATAGTTTTCTGAATTATTCGGTGTCAAATCTATCTCAAGGGCGCGCTCTCCCCATGCAACGGCTTGGATCCCGGTTTTGGTTGATTTAATTGTTTTATATTTTGTTGTTGTGGGGAAACTACAGTAAGGTTTGGTTTGAAGACAAGGTCTACAATAATAGTTCAGTACCACTGTGTTGAAAGGACAAAAGCACCAATGTGACCTAAATGGTGCGCACCACGTTTGTGTGGGGACCTTTCAGCAACCTGTTTGGCCAGGTTTAATGGTTGGTCCAGTCGTATTGAGATGGGATTGTTTGTTCCTTGTTAGGATGGTTGTGTCCATTAGCTCGCTGTATCGTCTGTAGTGTTCTTGTTGGTTGGGTAGATGCCGTATGGCTTTTCTTATTGTCAGGACCAAAAAAAAAAAAAAAAAAAAAGCAGACACCATGAAAGCAGTGGCAACCAACCACCTGCACCATCAATTGGTTGCTAACCTTTAATATGGTGTCGGTGTCCCGGTGTTCAGATCCTTACAATCAGCATCACAGAGGATTCGAACTCTTTAATATGAGTTTCATGAAAAGTGACACGATGATGAACACCAATAATGTTACTAATAAATATGTCGACTAAAAAAAAAAAATCAAATATGCTAGTTCGGGGGTAATGGTACTCTTAGATCCCATGCTCTTGCTTAAAACTTGGAAGATGTCTTTCCTATTTCAGGAATTTTTTTTTTTTTTTTGGAATGAGACAAGCACAAACACAATCACATAAGCACACAAAGAATGCAAGATTTTGTACGTTTAATCAGTGTGTCTAATCCATCTACGAGAAGGTAGTCAACAATCCACTATAAAATGAATTGCAAGGTGTTAAAAAATGAGGAATTACTTCCCAGAAATAATTAAATCCTATATTTGCCCCCCGAAAAAAAAAAAAAAAGAGGAGGAATTATAGGCCAGTGCAAGATCTCTCGAATCATTCAAATCACTACTCTTCTGCCTCTGATCATACAGATGGACTCCAGTCTCCATTATTTGAGAGGATAATCAGATGAACCCAATAATTTGAGTGGAGCTGCTGCTTAGTACTGTACATCAGTACTTGTTAAAACCGGTGCCATACATTGGCAAAGTTTAACAGCATATGAATCATCCAATGCACTGTGATGAAGAATGAAGCTCCCAATGAGCTAATAAACTAAATGGTGGAGAAAGAGGGATTGAACTCTGAGAGAAGCAAAATTACTTCAAGCTATGTTCAATAGAATTTGAACAACTCATTATTATTATTTTTATTATTTTTATTTTTTTTCAATTTCAATTTCAGGGAACCAAATCCATGCTGCCCAACATAGCATCCAAATATTTTGATGGCTTTCTATTGGGTAACAAAGTTTTTATCTCCTGCATTTGATAAAGGTTTTCAACAAACAGATAAGTCAAATGAAAGGATGTTCAAACCTCCAAATAAAATCAAGATAATGACAGAATCTACCTAATTAAGTAGTAAAAGTAATATATATATTTCATACTTCAGATTAAATTTTAAGCCGTCTTCAAAGAATACCAGTTGCAGCCACATACATCTGAACACCTCTTCTTTCTTTCCTTCTCTCGTTTTTTTTTTTTCCTTTAGCTAAAGAGACATTTAAACACCTGATCAAACATCTAGTTTAGAGTAAGCATCGTAAGTCAGCAAGGCAATCAAGCACAAGGTCAACTGTGTCAATAAAGCTGTTTAGAATAAAACAATAAATTAATAATAGGTAAACCTAGAAGTAGAATAAGTTTGTTGAAGCTCGTGAAGTTCCCAAACATTAAACAGGTGAGATAATTAAAGGCATTTGTAAGAGTTCAAGGAAGAATGATAACTATTTAAACAATGAGGAATTATGGAAAAACACGACTAAGGCACAGAAATGAAAAGAAACCACAAACAACAAGGGCTAAATGCGCTTCTCCTATATCACCTACTTGCGCAATGCAAAATTATAATTGATTACATATTCAAAATGCCAAATAGGAAGAACAAAAATGACAATATCGCATGCAAAACTACAATGTTAAGTAGGCAGTCACCATCAAAAAACTCTTCCTACAATAATACATACCCACACAAAACACACGAAAATAGAATCTTGACAAAGGCTAATAGTATCCCAAATGAACAGTCCCAATTAAATGTGTAAAGCATGTGAGTTTTGTATCTAAAAGTACTGAAGAACTTCACCAAGTATTTATTCTATATATAAGGTTCTACGTCTGGGTACATTTCTAAGTCACCAACCTCCACACAAAACATCTCAGCAGTTCACAACTTGGAAACATTGTCAATGGCACTCCCTCATTTCATGTCTATTTCTACCAACATTCCTACAAACATCGACCCACAAACCGGCAACACCAGACTCCCTCACACTGCAACTATGCCTACCACCCAGAAATGGAACATGTCCCAAGCCCTCACCTTGAATTCTAACCCCTCAACACAACAAAACCTTAAAACTGAATACGCCAACTTTACAGTTGAGTGCTGCATGTGAAATTTGAGTTCTAGTTTCTTGATTTCTTGTATATGTTTCAACAGCTGACACTAACACTTTCGCAGGATGAGCTTCACATCAAACATGCAAAAAAACTGAACGAAGTTAAGCATTCATTCAGCAAAGTAGGAGAAGATCCATTAGAAGGTTTGGCCATGATTGATGCCGTCCAGCGCCTAGGCATTGACTACCACTTCCACGAGAAGATTGATGAAGTCCTACAAAGGCATTATACTAAAATTAACACTCATACTTGTGTAGATAACTACGACGACCTTTATGAGGTTTCACTTCGTTTCAGACTACTGAGACAAGAAGGTTACTATGTGACTGCAGGTGAAGTATTTTCTTTTCCTGTTACCCAAATTTGATTATGATTTTTGAGTTATCAACCAACAATTTGGGCTTCGATCGAACAGGTGTGTTTAACAAATTCAAGGGCAAGGACGGGATGTTCAAAGAAAAACTGAAACAAGACATCAAGGGATTGATGGGTTTATATGAGGCCTCGCAGCTAAGAATAGAACAGGAAGATGTACTTGATGATGCTGCAAACTTTAGCAGCCACATTCTTTCTTCATGGGTGAAACATCTTGATCATCATCATCAAGGTAGAAATATTATTAGGAGTACATTAACGAATCCCTATCACAAGAGCTTGGCAAGGTTCATGGTGAAAAACTTTATCAAAGATTTCAATGGCATTAATGGTCAGGGAAATGTCCTGCAAGAACTGGCAGAAATGGATTTCAAGTTGGTTCAATCCATACACCAACGGGAAATCCTTCAAGTTTCCCAGTGAGTCTGTATTACGACTTAGGACTTAGTTTTGTTGTTATATCATTGAGATTTACGTCTCTCTAAGTTGTTATATATTTGAGATTTATGTCTCTCTAATGTGCATCTTTGTCAACTTAGATGGTGGGACAACCTAGGCTTGGCAAAGGAGTTAAAGTTTGCCAGAGACCAACCACTTAAATGGCACATGTGGTCCATGGCCATCCTCACAAATTCCAGCTTCTCGGAACAAAGGAGCGAGCTCACAAAACCCATTTCTCTAATTTACATAATAGATGACATATTTGATGTTCATGGAACGCTCGATGAACTCACTCTCTTCACCGAAGCTGTCAACAGGTATGCGTCAAGGAAAGAGTTTTTATGATGTTTTAAAAAATTCTTACATATTTGTTAGCTAGATCTATGGATCGCTTCTTATTAACAATTTGTGTGTGAACATAATAATTGTATGATTTACGTACATGCAGATGGGACATTGCTGCTCTTGAGCATCTCCCTGACTGCATGAAGATAAGCTTCAAGGCTCTTTATGACACCACTAACGAAATTGGCTACAAGATCTACAAAAAGCATGGAAGAAACCCCACAGAATCCCTACGAAAGGCGGTGTGTTAATAATCCTGCAATCTGAATAAATGCTACAATTATGTATCAGCTAACATAACAATATTATATGAATGTTGCAGTGGGCCACTTTGTGCAATGCATTTCTAGTAGAAGCAAAATGGTTTGCTTCTGGACACTCACCCAAGGCAGAGGAGTACTTGAAGAATGGGGTTGTTAGTTCAGGGGTGCATGTGGTTCTAGTCCACGTCTTCTTTCTCTTGGGTCATGGCTTAACCAATGAAAGTGCAAATCTTGTAAATGATATTCCAGAGCTTATGCATTCTGTGGCAACAATTCTTCGTCTTTGGGATGACTTGGGAAGTGCCAAGGTAATCATGTAGTATTTCACTAGCTACCACACAAGTTTTTGGGGATACAAAATTTTGTCTAATTTATTACTAGGCAACTTAGAAAGGTCAATAATGTCTTCCTAAGTTATTACTTCTTAGCATTATTCAACTACCAAAAGGCTGAGAAAGGTATACTTTGACGCGCAATTATTCTGTTATCCACCAGTGATTGCTGTTGGTGGGTACCATCAAAAGTGATGGCTCAATTGCCATGGGTCCTGCTGGTCTTTCAAGGAAAAGTTTGATATAGACGCTATATACCCTACAGATTTCCAATAAAGAAGTGAGAAAAGAGAATATATATATATATATATTCTAACCTATATAATAATTGGGTCGCTTAGAGATGCTTCAGTCTAGTTCACTATTCAAATGCTCGTTTTAATTTACTCCTAATCTCGAATTGGATAAACTTGTAGGATGAGAATCAAGAAGGGCATGATGGGTCATATGTAGAGTACTACATGAAGGAACACCAAGGCTGTTCGGTTGAACTTGCACAGCAACATGTTCATAACATGATTTCGGATGCTTGGAAACGCCTCAACAAGGAGTGCCTCCATCCAAATACGTTTCCAGCATCTTTCAAGATTGCTACTTTAAATGTTGCAAGGATGGTTCCTTTGATGTACAGTTATGATAACAATCATCACCTTACAGACCTTGAGGAACAAGTCAAGCAAATGCTCTATGGCTCTGTTTCCTTATAAATCTCCTAAGATATCAAAAAGAATAATGTTTGACGTTTAGAGTCAGATGTAGAATCAGCTTTTTCCTGCAAACAGTACTACAGCTCTTGTAATATATAACCCTTTTTTCTTATTTATGGTCATACTAGTAAAATTCATGTACTTTATAGTTTTATAATTTGAAGATGTGATATTAATGGAAAGTGAGAGTCTATTTTTCTCCCCAAAACTAAGGTTGTGAAACCTCCATTATAAACTAAGAATCATAGATTCATAGTCATGAGATTCCAAGCTGGGTCAGCTTGATACAAGTAGAAGCTTTAGAATTAGGAGGCCTTTTAATGCTTTACATGTTAATTAGTCAGAATTTAAAAGAAGAAGAAAATATAATAACAAGAAAAAGAAAAAAAGAAAAAAAAAAGGGGGGGGGGGGGGGGGGGGAGTACATGCCATCAAAGTACTCTTTGTACATTATTACATATCCGCACACGACACACACGCACAAATAAAATCTTGACCAATACTGCAATAATATTCCAAATGAACACTCCCAAACGCGTAAAGCATGTACGAAACAATCCTAAAAAATTTATGAAAAGACCGCTAAGTTTGATTAAATTTGGTGAAAAACTCGTGGGTTTTGTTTCTATATGCATGTGCAGATAGTACTGGTGACGGTGTGAAAAACTCATGGGTTTTGATACTTCTGATTAAATTTTATGGCATGTTCAGAGAATACCAGTTGGAGCCAAATATTATCTAAACACCTCTTCTTTCTTTATGTATGTTCTTTTTCTTTTTCTTTTTTCCCCCCTTTTGCTACAAAGACATTTAAACAGCTGATCAAACAAACTAGTTTAGAGTATGCCTCAAAAGTCAGCAAGACAATCAAGCACGAGGATAACTGCGTCAATTAAGATGTCCAGTCACATTTTGAAGGTTTTAGAATCAAATAATAAATTAAAAATGGGTAAACATAGAAGTAGAATAAGTTTGTAGAAGCTCAAGTGATGTTCCTAAAAATTAAACACTTGTGATTAAAGTCATTTGTAAGAGTTCAAGGAAGAATGATAATGATTTAAAGAATGAGAAATTTTGGAAAAGCAAAAGTAAGAAGCCACAAATTACAAGGGCTAAAAGTGCTTATCCTATTTCACCTACTTGAATAATGAAAAACAATATTAATTAGGAAAAACAAAAATGACAATACCACATAAAAAAATCACAATGTTAGACCACATCTACACAACAATGAATGTAAAAATGCATTCTATGTTTATTTAATTGAAAGTGCCACTCCAAGTAGGGACAAAATATCAAATTTTATGCTCCAAATTGCATTCATAAGCTCAGCAACAATATCAAAGTATAAGTAAGATCAAACAAGAACAGAGAATGAGTAAGACTGCTCTTTTGTATCTGCTGGCACTTTTAGTTTGTAATTTGACTTCCCTAACTCCAAAAGCTCTTTTGCTTCGTCAAGCTTTTTTTTCTTTTTTTCTGACTCTTTAGCCAGTCCATCTACCACACACTGCAGTTTTGCCGATTTAACAAGAAAACGCTGATGAAAGGCCTCCTTGCACAACTCAAGAGCAAAATCAAAATCACCCTCGTCGCAAGCAAGGAATAAAAGCATCGTGATTGTTGCCCGATCAGGGGCACAATCATTTTTTGCTATTTCGCAGTACCACCTCTTAGCTTCTTCCAAATTCTTACTAACCCAAAATCCTTTAATCAGAGCATTAAAGCTATAAATATCTGGTTTCACTCCCTTCCTCCTCATTTCTTCGAACACCTCAACAGCTTCAGAAATTCTATTATCAGCAACCAACCCACGCAACTTTGGATTGTAACTTCTCGCATTGGGAACAACATTCTTTTCTTCCATTTGTGCCAATACCTTCTCAGTATCAGAAATCCGATTATTCCTACAAAATGCATCCAAAAGCGTATTGAATGTGATCAAATCAGGCCCAATCCCATTCTTCTCCATCTCTTCTATCACAGAACGCGCAGCATCAAACGAGCCCATCTGGCAAAAAGCTTTAACAACCGTGTTATACGAAACGGTGTCCGGCTGAATCGACAACTTCTCCGGCAACTCACGAAAAAGCTGGCCAATCTTATCGAAATTTTTCGAATTGACATAAGCTCCGAGGAGGGCATTGAACGACACGACTGTGCGGTCGCATTTCAAGTGCGGCATTTCGTCGAACAACTTGTGGGCATGCTCGAACATGCCGTACTTCCCATACAGAGACATTATTCGTACAGTGAAGCGCTCATTGGTGATATTCTTGTACCTTTTTTGGTGCTCGAGGATGTCTTCGATGTAAGACAACTTTCCAGCATTGAAGAGGCGGCGTACGGTGGCTTTGTAGCTGGAGGCGCGGTTGCGGAAGTGCTCGGAGTCGGACGACTTCTTGAAATTCTCGACGATGTCTAAGAGATTTTTGGTCTTCGGAGTTTTGGGTAAGGGATTCTTGGTCTTCGGAGTTTTTGGCAAGGAGGAGGTGCTGGTTGTGGCGGGGAAGAGTCCGTTAAGACGGCGGTAGACGGAAGAAGACATTGCCTTTTTTCTTTTTTCCGAATTCTGGAAGGGAAATGTAGGGTACAGTACAAATTTAGAATTACAGTGAATTTATAAGGAAAGTACGATAAAAACTTGGTTGCACCGACTGTTCGTATAATAGTTGGCGGGTGTAATTAAATTTTTCTCAAAAAAAAATTTCAAAAATCATTTTAAATTATTGTTTTTATTTTTAACCGAGATAATCGACTTTTAAAAATTAAACAAGTTTTAACCCTTTATAATTTGTTTTTATATATGTTGTCAATTTATTAAATATGAATTGTCAATCTTGATTTTCTCTAAATGTTTTAGTTTGTTCTCTAAAATTGTAATATTATTTCTCCAATTAAAAACATTTGATTAATTTTCTTAGATTTCTTTTTTCTTTAAAATATACTAATAATTTTGCTCTTAGAATTATAAAAATCTAATTTAGAACAAACAATTAAATATGTTAAAATAGTTTTTTAAAAAAAAAAATTGTATAAAAATCCAGTTCCTAGATAGAAGTTATAATTTAAAACGTCAATTCTAATTTGAGGAGTAAATTTTTAAAGGTATGACTTGGTGGTGGTTTGTGTATATGCACCGCTTACCTAATTGAATTATGGGTAAAGTGCAATAAACCCCCCTCAATTATACCTTAAGTGCAAATAACCCCCCTCAATTACAAATAACCCCCCTCAACTATGGTATTGGTGCAGTCTTAGGACAGAGAAGGTTTTTCCAGTCATCTCCTATCACCGGAAATTGGAAAAGTCTATTTTACCCCTCTCATAAAAAGGATGCCACTTCACAATAAAAATGCCACCGTTTCCTTCAGCTACTTAAATGAAATTCTTCATTTTCTTTCTTTCTTTTTAACGAGAAATTATTGCCCAACTCCTCCAATTTAATCTTCTGATCCTCAACACCATCACCATCGAGAGAATTATTTGCGCAATCGAGAGAAGAAAGTAGAGATCGAGAAGAGTTACCTTAGTCAGGTAACGAGTAATTGTGAGTATCCAAAACAGCAGAACCGCAATTGCCTGAACCCTGCGATGATGCAGGCCCAGAAATTTGGTTGTTGCGAATTTCAGAGTCGGGTGAGGGGTAATCCAAAACCCTAGCAGCGGCGACGGCGGCATTCAAGCACTTATTGTCGGATTCATGCAAAGATTCGCGATTGAATCCACCGGATTCCGGTGATGGAACGTTCAAGAACCTAGAAACATCGGAGCAGTGATCCTGAGACAAACTTGACGACTGAGAATTAGAAAGATTGAAGGTGGGATCGGCAGAAATTGGATGGCCAGGATTGAGGGTAGCGGAGTGATTATTGGAACCCTAGGAAAGGCGTGGCCAGAAAGGGTGGAGATATCCGGCTGTGACCTGGTATATCCCATGGACGGCGATCGTCCTCCATAGCTTGCTGGGTCGCTACAGTAGCGACCCCATCCTCCAACATGTAGCAACCCAAAGGTCGCTACCATCCACGGCGAGAACCAGGTCACAAAAACGACCTGGTCATATTCTTTCACGGTGACACAAAAATCACTATGGTGTTCCGATCAAGGCTGTCGCCGAAGTTCATGGTGTAGACGTCGTTCTCAGTTTGGTGTAGAGATGAAGCTCTGCCTTTTGGTCTTCAATGGAGATAGAGAAGAGAGAGAAAATTGGGTGAAGAGGAATTACGGATAAGGGTTAAATGGTCATTTAATTTAAATATGGTACTCAGGGACTCAATTTAATAACCAAAAAATTTGCCGGTGGTCGGATTGGGTAAATTGCCACCAAACCCCCAAGTTGAGGGGGGGTAAATGCAACTTTAGAAATTCAAGGGGGTTTTGTGCTCATTGGGGTATAATTGAAGGGGGTTTGTTGCACTTTACCCTTGAATTATGATATTCAAGGAGACTTAGTTTGGTTTATTAATAAAATTGAACGAATTGTTATGTACAGTGGGACTAATTTGATTTATTTTTGAATGAATTAGTTAATCGAATTATGTAATTCAGGAAGACTAATTTGATTACATTGCGATATTCAAGGCGACTAATTTGATTTATTTATCAAAGTGAATTAATTACAAATAGTTGTTTTTCATTTCGAATACTAATAACAAGGCATATAACCTATTTACGAGAGGTGGATGATAGGGTGATTTTGGGTAAGATTTGCAGTGGGTTGCTGTAACGGGTGAACACATATTTATTTATTCAAAAGTTTAAGCTATTAAGTAATGTTGCATAATCACTTATTGTATCCGTTCACTTTTTCATCTAAATCTGTCTTGAAAAGCTCCCCTTGTTACGTACAGAGATAAGTGATGCAATTTTTTTTTCTTTTCTTTTAGAAGTTAAAGCAATTACTCACACACCTTACTTCTACCCAGGTTCGAACTCTGACCTCCCTTTTTGGAAAGGAAGGGGTGATCATAAGATGGACTCCATTATTTGAGTGGATTTGCTTCTTAGTACAAAACAAAACAGATAGGTCTAACGAAGGGATGTTCAAACTTCCAAATGAAATGAAGGTAATGACAGCATCTACCTAATTAAGTAGCAGAAGAAATATAAAAGATCAAACAAGAACAGAGAATCGGTAGCAACTACTCTTTTGGGTCTGTTGGCACTTTTAGTTCGTAAGCTGACTTTCCTAACTCCACAAGCTCTTTCGCTTCTTCAAGCTTTGACTCTTTAGCCAATCCATCTACCACAAGTTGCATTTTTACCGGATCGAAAAGGATTCGCTGCTGAATGGCCTCCTTGCACAACTCAAGAGCAAAATCAAAATCACCCTCGACGCAAGCAAGGGGTAAATGCATGGTAAGTGTTGCTCGACCAGGTGCACAATCATTTTTTGCTATTTGCACGTACCATTTCTTAGCTTCTTCCAAATTCTTATCATTACAAAATCCTTTAATCAAAGCATTAAAACTATAAGTATTCTGGTTTCACACCCTTCCTCCCCATTTCTTCAATCACCTCAACAGCTTCCGAAATTCTATAATCAGCAACCAATCCACGCAACTTTGGATTGCAACTTCTGGCATCCAGAACCACATTCTTATCTTTCATCAATGCCCACAACTTCTCAGCATCAGAAAGCCCATTATTCCGGTAAAATGCGTCCAAAAGCGTATTGAATGTGATCAAATTAGCCCCAATCCCATTCTTCTCCATCTCCTCCATCATCAAGCGAACCCATATGGCAAAAAAGCTTTAATAATATGCAACCCTGTCCGGCTGAATCGACAATTTCTTCGGCAACTCACGGAAAATCTCGCGAATCTTATCAAATTTCTTCGAATTGACACAGGCCGCAAGCAGGGCATTGAATGATATGACCGTTCGGTCGCAGTTCAAGTGTGGCATTTCGTCGAACAACTTGCGGGCATTCTCAAACATGCCGTACTTTCCATACAGAGAGACGAGTCGTACAGTGAAGCGCTCCTTGGTGAGATATCCTTGTACCTTTTTTGGTGCTTGAGGATGTCTTCGATGTACGACAACGTTCCGGACTTGGCTAGGTGGCGGACGGTGGTTTCGTAGGCGATGTAGCTGCTGCGGAAGCGCTCGGAGTCGGAGGACTTCTTGAATTTCTCGACAATGTCTGAGAAATTTTTGGTCTCTGGGGTTTTGAGTAACGAAGAGGTGCAGGTTTTGGGTAAGGAGGAGAAGGAGGCGGTGGTTTTGGGTATTTTGGCAGGGAAGAGTTCGTACAACGGCGGTAGAGGGAAGAAGACATTTTCGAAAGCAAATGTGCTACTACAAATTGAGGTTCACAGTGAATAATACACCAAATTTGTTGCAAATTATATAGTTTTTGCTTTTTAATTTTGCAAGATCAAAGATGGTAGACTTTTAAATATTATAAATAGAGAAAATTACCAACAAGTCTTATCTTTTGCTTTTAATGACTAATAAGTCTTACGGAGTATTAATTTTAAAAAAATTATTAAGTCTTATCTTTTGATAAACATATTGTCAATTTATTAAATATTTAATGTTAATCTTGATTTTCTCTAAATGGTTTAGTTTGTTCTCCAAAATGGTAATATTATTTTTCAAATGAAAAGCATTTGAATAATTTTCTTATATTTCTTTTTTCTTTAAAATATACTAGTTATTTGGCTGTTAAAATTATAAGAATCTATCTTAGAAAAAGCTTAAACATGTTTAAATAGTTAAAAAAAAACAAATTACTCCTAAAAAAAAAGTTAAAAAAATGAGAGTTTTAAGTTTAAAATGACCTTATTCAAAATACTTCTGAAGTCATAAGAATGTTTTAATGTATAAAGTTAGAAACTTTAATAAAAAAATGATAGTTTTGAGTTTAAAATGACCATATTCAAAATACATTTGAAGTCATGTTTAAATAGTTAAACAAAGGTAAATTAGTTTTAAAACCAATTCTTACAAAAATAAATAATAATTCAAAATGTCATTGTTAATTTAAGAAGCATGTAAATGAAAATTTGAGAGGGTCGCAAGCTACGTGGAACAAATATTCAAAAGTAGGACTTAGTAGTAGTTTGAGCCTCACATTGGAACATTAGTGTGTGTGGAGTGTGTGCATAGAAATATTTTAATGTTTATGTTATATTTATGTCATTGTATTACTAATTAATCAATTAAATAAATATTGATACGTAGAGATAAAATGTACTAAATAAAATTTTTTTTTCTTATGTGACAAAATTTAAATTTTTTATAACAACAATGACTTGGTATAACGGGAGAAACTTTTCTCGTACCTGTGTTGCTTAGATAACCATAAAACTTTTTTACTTCTATTGAAAAAATAAAAAATAAAAAAAAAAATAAATATTGATTTTTAGTTAGGTGATCCACATATAGGCCTATATGGCCAGTCTGGGCCATTTATAAGGCCTGATTAAATTTGGGCTGGCTTGTGTGAAAATTTGTAATTCAATTACTAGAAGTACAAGAAGTATTTCTGCCCTAACAGCTTCAGCTTTCCTCACTTATCTGTACTTTCCACTCAACAAAACTATCGCAGAAACATGCAAACAAACTAGAAATTTGTACTTGGCTTCTTCAGCCTAATGCACTATGTGCCTTTCATTAACGATCGAGATTCAATGCACATGCACCATAACTTACATGTATGGCAACAATTGAACTGAATCTGTCATGATAGAAATGAGCTTCCCAACCAACTCGGATCATCTCCTGTGCACTGAACGGTCTAGTGCACATGATATAGTGGGGCCCACTCTCTCTCAAGAGTGATCTCCACCGTCGCTAAATGCATTGGAGAGGATTCAAATTTCCTTCCAACACCAAACGAAAAATATATAAAAAAAGGTGTGATTATTACAAGAATTGTAAGGATGCCCAACAAACTATAACAAGAAGATTCCCAGCCAATGAAATGTTACTCTTGTGAGGAGCTGTTTTATAACCAAATCAAGTCCATAAACTTCGAATAGTGCAGAAGCCTCTCTTCTAACTAAGCTGCATTCCTGTGACCAAATTACCCCCATCTCCCTCCCTCTCTCTCTCTCTCTCTCTCATCAACAATAACCATTAATCTGCACAATATGGAGTCCCTGGACTTCTCTTTGGATGATTTAAGCATAGGTGAAGAAAGAAACAGTGAGAGAAATATAAATTGGAGGGGGCAGGTTGGTGATGACACTGTAGTATATAAATCCAAGAACCTCTTAGCTGAGAGGAGGCGGCGCCACAAACTCAAAGCTAGACTCCTTGAGCTGCGCGGATTAGTCCCAAACATCACAAATGCAATTACCCGAAAACCAATTATACATTAATTCTCCAAGATTTTGCTTTTCAGTCAATAATAATATCATATGCTGCTATTCATTAGTTTCTAACTTTGAAGTATTTCTTGTGTGGTTTTAGATGAACAGAGCAACCATTATTGTGGACGCAATAACTTACATTCAGAAGCTGCAGAAGGATGTGAGAGATCTTGGCGACCAACTTCTTGAAATGGAGGCGATCCTCGAGGAGGAATCAAAAGCCTGGAAAACTGAAGGAATTGGTGCTGCAGAAGAGATGAAGAAATGGGGGATAAAGGTTACCTTGTTTTTAATTAATTCATACAATTTACATTCACACACACACACACACACACAATTCTAGTCTTTAAACATATATGTCTCATGATTTAGTTAATTTGTTCATTGCAAATAGAAATTTTTTTTTTTTTTTTTTTTTTTTTTTTTTTTTTTTTTTTTTTCAGACAGAGATTACAGTAAATCACATTGATGCCGATAACCTTTGGATGAAGATAATCCTCGAGAAGAAAAGAGGTGCATGCACTAAATTGATGGAGGCCATGAGTGTTGTTGGCTTTGAATTCACTGACACCAGTGTTACCACCTCGAAAGGAGCATACCTCATCACTTCCTGCTTGGTGGTAAGATGGAAAGAACAAACATTTGGCATTACTTTTCTACTTTCTAGTAATACTTTATAGGAATGATACAATATATGTCCTCTATACCACCACACACACACACAAAAACCCTCACTTTTGAATGGAAGTACAGCAAGAACTATACTTTTTCCTGTTCAAGTAGACCAAAATTGTACCATCACATTCTTGTTCCCATGCACTCTTTTAACTTCCCAAATTAAAAGAAGTCTTTTTAACTATCAAGTTTTAGATATTAATAATAATACTTGATTGAAAAGTTTTCTAGAAGCTGAAAATTAGAATTATGATTTCAGGGAATTCGCGGTAGAATGCTAGCAGCTGATCAGGTCAGAGAGTTGTTGATGGATATCATTAGAAGCATATAAGGCAACCGGAAGAGAAAGGGATTGATCATCGACCAGTTTACAACAATTTTAAGAATATGGTGTTTGATTTTAATAATTGACTTAATTTGCTATTTATGATTTACATCTGGAATATTGCTATTAGTCTAGGTATTTAGAGGCTGCAATTGAATTATTGACTATATTTGTCTGTAGATGCCATTATATTTAAAAGATGCAGGATATGCAATTTACTGATACTGATATACAGTTTTTAAGAAAGCAATGCATGATATAGTTCATATACCATCTTTGGCTGAAGTTCAAGATTGATAATTCTCTAGGAGTATATTCCCCTTGCTCTGTTACTCATGTAAACACAATGCTGTCCGCTTTAGCCCTCTAGCTCGGATGATATGATCTCTCTTCCCAAAGGGGAGGCTAAGAGTTTGTGCTCCATTAGGGGCATATTGTGAGTAATGGGTGCATGTTTGCTTTAAGTCTTTAACTTTCCCGGGAAAACAAAGGACAGAAAAAAAGAAAGAAAGAAAAAGAAGGCAGTATGATGTCATATGATAGATACAAAGACAAGGATTCACCCACCTTTGGTCTGCTTAAAGCTTGAAAATAACAAGTCTCTGGGCCCAGCGGTGCTATTCATAATGTTGCTATAGAAGCATAGCCTGATATTACATACATTAATACAAATTATACAACTGGATCAAGAAATCTAACCAAACAATTAACTAGTCCAAATTGTGTTGCTAGTACACCTATAGATTGGTGTATCTTTTTCTTGCCTTCAACTTGGCCCAACTGTCTACTCCTTTAACCTTTTGTTTTCTGTTTTTCACTTTTCTTGTGCTCCTCGCAAAGTGTTTTAAGTAAATGAATCGTGTAATATTGACGTTAAGAATAAAAGCAACTTTATTTAGTCTACGTTAAAGCATAGATTAGTACAAATTAAAGGCTAATACTTGCTAGAGTATAGGATAGAACAGTGATTGCTTTGTCATTCACTGAGTAGACATTGGATTTGTACCCTTTTGCTCTCATTGTCACAAATTTCTACCAACAAAACAAAGAATTTCATTAGATGCACTGAATATCATATGATCATTTTAACTAGGGGCAAATGATATTTCTGGGCTCAATATGGAGTTCATATAAAGATTTAATTGCTCAAATTATGCAGGGCAATGTATCGAAAAATGCTTTGTTTTATAGTATTAAACACGAAGGAGCATTTTCGAGTGATCATCATCGATTTTTGTATGCTTTTCTTAGTCATTGTCATCAAGCTAATCCTTATACAGTTGTTCGATATTCTAATGCAGCTCAGTATATAGTCATATTTAGATCAATCACTAGACTTGCAAAGATTTAAACAATATGTGAAGCAATTGCTTTATTAACTAATCAGTCAGGCTTTTACCTGCAAACAGAGGCTCAAATAACACAAACACTAATTATCTAGATACATAAACAAGCAATTTGCTAGCAAGGTCAATTATTATAATCTTCAAAAATCAAGAAATGCTGCAGCAATGAACTCTCTTCACTCTTAACCTGCCCAATCAAAGGTTCTTCCTGGTAGTGTCTTTCATAACCATAGCTAACATCACCATAGTTACTTCCCCTCCCATTTCTCCATTCACCATTCGAGTATGCACCTCCGAAAACATAATCTGCAGCACCATTCCACAGGCTTTCCTTTCTTTCTCCATCTCCAATTTCTCGACTACCATACCTCTTCCGGTCCTCCCAATATAAACAAGGCCAGTAGCCAAATAAACTCTCACAAAGGTCCAAGGCATCCGAGCCGTACCCATATGGAGCTTGAGGCACTTGATTATCATATCCACATCCATAACAATTATCTTCACTTCTCCTATTTCCAACCCCATAATCATAGCCAGACCAAGGATAATTGTCATCACAAACATACCCCTCTTTTTCTTCACTCAATTTTGAGTCCAAAATCTTCTCATTTTGACCTTCATCACCATTGTCAAGGCCACCAAAGGCCTTGTGCTCTTCTTCAATACCCGTGCTTGGTTTGCTTCCATTAGGAGGCTTCGCCAAGACCTCACCGGCATCATTTTTACCATTAAGGCCATTAGCCTCTGGTTTGCTTCCATTAGGAGGCTTCGCCAAGACCTCACCGGTATCATTTTTACCATTAAGGCCATTAGCCTCTGGTTTGCTTCCATTAGGAGGCTTTGCCAAGACCTCACCGGAATCTTTTTTGCCGTTAAGGCCATTAGCCCCTAAAGCTGAACGAGGATAACATATTTCATCCGAGTGAGGAAGGGATTTCCCATAAGTTAGAGCAATATCATAACCACCATCATAAGGGGTAGGATCATATTCCTCATAATCAGTGTCAACGCGCTCCAAAGTAGAGTTAGAGACAAGGTATTGTGTTTGAGAATAAAAATAACTAGTGGCGCTAGGAGTTGGGTTATATTCCAAGAATTTGGGTTCACTGAAATTGTAGGCACAATAATTATTAACATGTGATTGAGTTTGAAAAGGATCATAAGCACCACGATGATGATCAATTGGTTCATATTCAATGAATTTGGAATCACTAAATTCATAATCAGAGTAAGAGATTGAGCTTGGAGTTGGATTATACTCGAGAAATTTGGGCTCACTGAAATTGTAGGTACAATAATTAACTTGTGATTGAGTTAGAAAAGGATCATAAACACCATGATGATGATCAGTTGGTTCATGCTCAATGAATTTGGAATCACTAAAATCATAGTCATTGTAGGATATTGAGTCTAGAATTGGAACAATATCATAACCATTATTAGTATTATAAGGGGTACAATGGTACTCACCTGCATCACCATAGTAAGAGTTGGAGCCATAGAAAGCCATTAGACGTCAATCAAATCTTCACAAGTCTCTGAAGAAGAACAAGTTTTTGGTTAGAGATGTTTGGTAGGTAAGAAAATTATTTGATAAACAGAAAAACAGACAACCGGATATGACCCAATCGTATTATTCTTTTAATAATGACACCACAACCACTTGATTCTTATCCAACTGGGAAAAGGTTCATATATCACTTTAGTGATGAAGATTAGAGAGAAAAACGTGGAAGAATTAGTTGGAGTGATGTAACTTTCAGAATTTGTTGTTAGAAAGTAAAATTTCTGCAAAAGTAATAAAAAAAGACAAGGTGTGTGGGCCTTTGGCTCATAGTCTATGAGGGGACGAATTGTCACACCCACACCCACACCCACATAATTGAAGACAGTCTACTTTTTCAAGTACTTAATAAGTTGTAGAAGTTTATTTTAATCTCTCCTTTCTCATTAATTCCAAATGGGTTAAAAAAGGAGGGTTATTGAAAAAGAATCCTAAGAAGCTTTAATTAAATCTTTGTATCAATAATTATGTATGTTTATCTTGTATCTGAATCTTTTATTATTACAGTTGGACTCTCGTTCACCGCAATACAACACTCGTACGTGTTGTCATGCACAAGATCCGAACTCGTTATCTAATGATAATTTAAGAGCAACTATGGAAAAGAAGTGAAACTGGAGATCATATGAGAAAATTGGGTATTTTGATCATGTGGTTGCCCATGTTTTTGGCTACCTAGGTGCTAGATCTCAGTTGGGTATCTCTATTTTAGAGAATATACCCTCTTAGCCTAGTTGGAGCCTCTGATTGTAATACTTTTGATTGATTTAAAATATTTCAGTCCTTTGCTTAGGAAAAAAGGAAGAAAAAATTGTCAGTTTATTACTGTTGCTAGTGGACTCTCATGTGATGTCTAATCGACTGGACCATTTCAATACTTAAATCCAACACCCAGTGTTTGGTAGGAAAATGTCATTCACTATTTACCAAAAGTCTACAAGGGAAGTAAAATATATCTATCACTCTACTCAATTTTTTTATTTTTTACTATTTATCTGTAGTCTTTGAACTGGTAAAGTGATCATATATATATATATTACTTACATCCGAGCTGGTTCAAACTCCTCTCTCCTTTTCGAGTTATAATATCGACTAATTGGTTTAACATCTGCAGTTTTTATCATTCTAAATCAACCCAACTTTGTAAACTAATTGAGCAGACCGATTTGAAATTGTATGCACTACTATGATTATTGACATCTAATTGAAATCTAAGAAAGAGCTTAGTCCATTGAAATCAAATTACCTTACCATTTAAAAAAGTGCCAGGTACTTTTAGCCTGTCTGTAAACATGGACCAGTTTGACGTTATATGTTGTCCATGGCATTAAATAATATGGCTGTAGTTCTGAATTTCTGCAATAATTGGACAACAAATGAACTACTGCCTATTACTGATCCAGGAAAAATAAATAAATAAAATAAAATCTAAACTATTTGATCCCACTCTCACTCAAATTCAAAGCCCAAACTATAGAATTTTAACCCCGCTCACAAATAAAACCCAATTCTATTATGACTCACATTCAAAGCCCAGACAAAACCCAGAGGCACAAACTAGTGAACTCCTTACCCCAGTGATCGGATGCAATTAAAGAAATTAATTCTTAATGGGGATTAATGAGAGAGATCACTTATGTAGAGTGAGAAAGTAGGTAAGGATTACAAGCAACATTGCTACATCACCTTTAATTTTTTTTTTTATTAAGTAAATTAACCATTAGTTCTCTTTAATCACTGCTTTATTGAGAATGTCATATCAGACACCAATATTTATAATATATTCTGTCTTATTTATTTAAATAAAGATATATTGTCTGTCAGACTGTCACAAAACACGAAACTCATTGTTGATTATCTCATTAAAATAACAAAAAAAAACTTATCTCTTTATTTTCTTGAACGATTTGAGTTCAATTGAAAATATTACAGTAACAGATGGTCGCATGGATTTGAGGTCCTACTGTGACACGTAAGGAAGAAATGTGAGATCTTGTAAAACCAGCTCCGATTAATGTAGAATCGTGTGTGTTTAGACTATAGGTCATAACGAAATGAACTAATTACAGGTTTGGTAGTGTGATTCGACTAATACATGTGCTGGAGCCCATATTTATAGTTCTAGGTAGAAATGGCAATTTGCTCCGCGGGACAAGTACTCACCCCACGCCGTGCCCGGTTATAGCAATTTTGGGGGCCATTTTTAACTTATCTGAGGGTGCAGATTTTTATTAATGAAAACCCGTGAGGGTTCGGGTTCGGGTTCGGGTTCGGAACCGGGGCCGGGGCCAGGGCCAGGGCTGGGGCGGGGGAGATTGTCCCACCCATTTAGGTAGGTAAATTATTAAATTATTTTTATTTTATTAATATATATAACTAGGTCTAGAAACTCTAGATCACATTCACTTAATTTCTCAACCGTTGTATTGAGTGACAAAGCCCTAAGAACGCATATATCCTTAAATTTTATGTTAAATTATTGATTTCTCATGTTTTATGAATTTTTTTCAAAAAGTTATATAATTGTATTAAGGAATATAAATTAAAAAGGAGTAGAAGTTCTGAAACTAAACATGGTAGAGCAGGTGTCCACGGGGCTAAAAAAGTTAAACGGGGGCGGGGATGGGTGGAAAGGCCCCCGTTTAGGCAATTTTGGGTCCCGACAGGGCATGAGTAGGTATGGACGGAAGTTTCTAATCGGTTGTGGAGACAAGGGCTAGGGCGGGTATGTATGTACACCCATCCAAAACTGCCTCCGTTACTATCGATCCCTAGTCCTAGGTTTTCCGAGCACTACCCAAAGCTCCTCGAAGGGACCTAGTCCTTGCTGAGTGTCTAGGGCCATAGGTAATGATTTTTAAGGGACAAATCACTCTTTTGACATCAAGAATATATTTAATGTGCCTAGTACACTGTGCATCGGGTCATAACAACTATTCATATATGCGTGTGTTGTGCACGTGCTCGCGCATGCATGACACAAACGACAGTAATGTGCCCAGTGCACGATATACCGGGCACATTGAACATCTTTTCCTTCCGGTCACGCTTTTGGTGGGGTAGCGTGCTAATTAGTTTTAAATGCAAATACTAAATGCATTGAGCTGGGCAACATGAACGGAATCTTTAGCAGAGCATCATTAATGGTGCATATTGTAATATGCTAGGGTTTTATTTTAGAATCATAGTGTAGCTCTCATCCGACGTGACTTTAGGATTTATCTTGGATTTAAAACTTTATATTATTTTTAGGTTTGATGAGCATGGATGATTTAAGAGTCCGTTTACTTTTATCTTCTTAAATCATGTGGGTGCTAGCAGGAGCTATCCACATTTGTCATTTTCCATTTTTATAAGCCCAAAGCTTCAAAGCATAAAGAAAAGGTAAAAGACAGCGAATAGATAAGCACAAGGACACACAACAATACATCAGATAAGCAATAATCTTTGATCGTTACTTTATTCGATCGTCCATAAATGATACAGGAAACTTTGGATGGCCAAGCGAATTGGGGGGCATAAAGGTAATAAGTAAGGTGTAGTGATGATCGGTCTTGCTCAGTTTTACACCAAAATATGCAAAACCCTCCTCAGTTATCAATCAGTGGAACCATCTTGATGGATTCAACTTCTCAAATGACGGGTAGCAGCCTCTCATCGCCGGCAACAACCGATTGCAACAACACATCACTGTCAGTATATATGAAGATGTGTTTATGGCCATATAAATATATGTTGCTGTATACAAAATTTACAAAGTAGAAAAATATATAGATATATTGCACAAAATCTAATTTAAGACCTCCACAACAACGAAAGTGTTTGATATATTGTCCTTATTTTCATTGTAATCATTCCATAATCAATTTGGAGAGTCATTTTTATTGTTCAATCTTTTTGTTCTTATATTTCTATTAGTAGTGGCGGAGCTGATAGCAATTATCATCATCAAATGCTACAAGGGGATATGAATTCAAGATTGAATTATAATCAAACAGCGATAGATGATCCAATTCGCAACTCACAAAACTCTCCATTTGACAAGCCGATCAATCCCTCTAAATTCTCTCTCTTGTTGGAGCCTTCAATGCCGAAAACAGAAAAACCTCCTTCAATGCCGAAAAGAGAGAAACCCAACCTCACTGCAAAGGTAAATTAATATGGTGATTCGATCGTAGTATATAATAAAGTTCATATATAATATATAGCTATATGGCTAGGGTTTTTTGACTGAATTTTTCAACATGTTCAATTTTTTCCAGCGTGCTGTTCAATACTCGAGTAGAGTGGTCAGCGAACCGGCACTTAAAAGACCACAGATCGAAAATCCATCACCATTTCCAACTTTGAAGGTCGATCAAACTTTCAACATGAGCCTCAAGTTTTTTCCTTGTAATAGATATTATCTTTTGTTTGAAGAAATGGACTAGAACTTCTAGCTTTGTTGTCAGGTCCCAAAAGTGAAGCTAGGAGACCGAATTACTGCTCTCCAGCAATTGGTTTCACCGTTTGGAAGGGTGAGAACTGAAATCAGAAAATTATATAAAATTCTATTTGTTTTCTAAAAAAATCAACCAAAAAAACAGTTTGTTTGATTGGTTTTTATATTTATCTGAAAACACAGCTAGTTCACAAGTAGCAACTATTTTTAAAAAATTGAACCAAATATATTTTAAAATTTTTAATTTCCTTCCACTTTATGCCAAGAGAACTTTCCTTTGTCAGCTCTTTGAACTTGGGTTAATTTCAACAATTTAATTGTTTCTGCAGACTGATACTGCATCGGTTCTCTCGGAAACTATAGCTTACATCAAGTTTCTCCATGAACATGTCCATGTATGTTCCATTGTCATTTTCTTGCTACAACATTTCACACCTGAACACTAAAAATGAAACCCTAAAGTAGAAATCAGATTTATATATTATCAAAGTTAAAGTGGCTTATATGTGTGCTTCAGCTTTTAAGTACTCCATATACGAGAAGTGGAGCTCCCATTCAACACCAACAGGTACAAATTTTAAATTTTTTTTTTTTTTTCTTTTTTTCTCTCCAGGCAATGGTTCTTTTCTTGATTCAATATGCTAAATTTCAACCACAAGAAGGATATATAAGTATTCTTCATATACGTATAGATTTACATACGTGTTGAATAATTTAATTAACTCATCCTGCAGACTGCTGATAAATTGAAGCTCAACTCAGAAGCGCCTAAACAAGACTTGAGAAGCAGAGGACTTTGCCTCGTGCCAATATCGAGCACTTTCCGACCAATGCTCCCACCAGTTGTTAGCAAGACAACAGCTGATTTCTTGACACCTGCGTTTGGAGGAACAATCAGGTAGAGAAGAGAAATTGAGAAAAGCTGAAGTACTTTAATTTTCTCTTAAAAGTAGTACAATTAATATAAATCACACACAAATTAATTGGCTGTGATCATTTGAGTTTAGAAACAACAGAATTTTAGAAAGCTTGGAATGCACATTGCTGTGTTGTACAAATGTTGAACAAAAGCAACACAAAGAAAAGGAAATTAAAGAGAAAGAAAAATGATTGACCCTGGAAAGAGGAAATGATTTTGGCTACAAAAGAAATTTAATTGGTAAATTAGTTTAATGCGCATTATTTAAGTTTTCAAATTTACTAAAGTTTTCATTCTATTTTGGGCTTTGAAGAATGCAAATGGGCTCTTCAAGCACAAATGCTGCCATGCTAGAAAACCTGAGATGTAGGCCGCAGACATGCAATTGTGGATTGAAAACCGCGATAAAAATCACAGAATCTGAAGACGACTACGACAACAACAAAGGAAAATTGCATTATGGTTGTCCAAACCAACGATGCATTTACTCGAATTGGTGCAAATCCACACCTCTCGACGAAATTGCATCCACATCCTCAACAACCCAGCAAACAGCTAACCAAACTCAAAACAAGGCTAAGGGGCAAATATTGGTTGAGTTGGACATGTTTTCTAAGTTGAGGTCACAAAATGCGTATTTTAGTGAAAGGCTTCAGGCGTTTAAAGCAGCTCATAGACTAATGAAGATGGCTGTCTTTGCTACAATGGTGCTATACACTCTTGCTATTATTGCAAGTGTAACAGGTTTGATTGCTAAGTGATGCACTGTAATAATGGTTTTGGAGCATTTGGCTTTATCAATGATACTCCCTCCGTCCCAATGTAAGTGTCATTTATGGGGAGTAGTAATTTTTAAGAGCCTGAAAAATTATAATATTGTCCTTTTAAGTTTAAAATATTGAAGTTTGAAATTTAAACTCAAATGACATTTTTGAAATGATGTAAAATATATTGTTTAAAAAAAAAAAATGGATACTTATTTTGGAACAAATAAAAAAAAATGATACTTATTTTGGGACAGAAGGAGTATATATATATATATATTGGTACTTGCTGTGTAATGCTATCAATGTACTAAGTATTTTTATGGTTGTTTTTGAACTTTTAATGTAATGCTATCAATGTAGTTTGTTTCGTTGACTACAGTAACCCTGTTCCATATATCCTAAAACTATGCATTTTTTATCAATGAAATTGTTCTCCGTGATCTATTGTTGACTGTAGTTTGACTATAAATTGCTTATCAATGAAATGCAATTGCATTTTTTGCACAAATCCCAAAATTAGGTCCCAAAACTTGACTTATTATGGTCCTTTAAGTATTCATCCCACATTAATTACACTGAGTTTCCTGGTCAGAAGAGTTGTCGATTTATTAAAGGTGTGAAACGGCAATTATGCCTTTTGTACTTTTTTTTGTTTTTAATGAAAGATATTTGTTTTTTTAAACTTTTAAAGGGTAAAATTGAATTTTAAATAAATTTGAAGCTTTACATAAGCCGACGGATGAATGTATGATATAGGAGGTCAATGTTACTCTGTACAGAACCAAAAAAAAAAAAAAAAAAAAATATATATATATATATATAGATGGTCGATGTAATTTATTCTAATTTAATAAGATTTAACCCAAATAAATAAAGCCCGTTAAACTAGTTACTCACATTCATTGCCCAATCCAAACACCTAAATTTAGTTTCAACTCTTCGCAAATACTCCCTCCGAGTCTCTATTTAGTTGTCCAACTCGTAAAATGTGAATTACAATTTATGAGCTGAGCAACTAAATGGAGACTCGGAGGGAGTAAAACCCAACACCCAAAGCCTATATATATTCCATATAAAAGTATGAACCTCCTAATCATTTCTCTCTCTTTTTTTGGTCCAATTAAGAAACAAGCCCAAGCAAGCAACAGTGGCCCAATGAAGAAACAAGCCCAAAACCTTTGCAGTGTATCTCTACTCTGCGGTGCATTGAAACGGTTATGATGAACCAATCAGGTGAGATTCGCAAGTTAATTCGCACTTTAAATTTGAAATTGAAAAAATTTAGTTACCTCGCCAAACATAAAGTCAAATGGACCCCTTAATTAAAATTTCTTTAACAGTTTCGGAATTATTAAATTATAGGCAGTTGCATAAAATCACAAAAGCAAATCATCTTGACCTTTCCTCGCTCAACCTAAAAGAGCTATAGCCACATATATCATAATATTAATATCTTGTGGAATCTAACCTAGCCCAAAAATCCAAGGATAATGCAGCTTTTGTGTTGGGTAGACTTCTGATTTTGTATAATTTAGAAGATGTGGTCAAATACATATTGACATAGCTTTTGATGTTTATGAATAGATTATCTTCTTTTAGATCTAATTATTGACCTTTTTAGCATTAGTAACCACATAATTGTGTCAACAAGTTGTTTACTTAATTCACTAGAGCAGTTTAACCTCCCGTGTGAGTGTTTTGGAATGTAGTTCTTGGAGGTAAAGCAACATTAATTGACTCCCACTTGATAAGACCTTAATTATATCATATTTGTTTGACTTAAAATGGTTGTTCCAATGTCAAGATTATACTATAGTTCATTCATATTTAATTGCTATAATCTTTCAAATGTTATACATAAGACAAAAGAAATGTATAGAATTTTTTTGTAGCTCACTGTTGGCAGCCGTCATTGTGGGATTTGGGATCAGATGTATGTATTTTTACCCTTTAGAAAGGGCAATTTGTATTATTTGAATACTTGACCTCCAAATCACAATGGAGGAATATTACTGTTGTGTCAAAACTTGCTATTACACGAACGAATTCTCAATGAAAATCTTTGTTTCGTCATTTGTCATTTGTGTGCCGTGTGCCGGGTATTTGTCGAAGTCATGATTAAACTCGAAAAGTAACTCTGGCAAAAGTTAGACTGCATACATTTAATTTTTTCGATTAATGGTTAAACCTTCGTGTCACTGAGTGATGAAAAATTATGAGACTTGAGGACAAACTGATATCGCTAAGATTCGAATGATGGACAAAACATGTGTGGACATAGAAATTGGAGTATGTAGCAATAATGACAACAAAGAAAAGAAAAAGAGAGGGTAGGTCCAACCCATCGCTCAACTCCATCATGCCAGCACGGAACCTAAAACTTTACCACTCCATAAACATGTATATATATATATATATATTGGTATAGCCTCCTTCAGTCGACCATTGTTTTTCCATGTCGTTTGATCAATTAGAAGACAATTGACCCATCTCAAAGTTGTTCATTTTTTATGTAATGGAGATGTCATGGTCTTCATGCATGACCCACATGACCTAACTTCATTAAATTCAATATCTGGTGATTAAATACAGATTTAACCCATATTATTTATTTTACAGCGGTCACAGTTTGCCATCGAGTTGAAATAATAAATTAATATTGTATAGACAAAAAAATAATAATATTATTAAGAGAAATTGATTGATAATTAAATTTCATTTTAGATTAGTAAGAAATGAAAAAGGGTCAACGTGAGTCCAAATGGAAATGTAAGTCAATCTAAAGAACTAGAGAGAAGGGCAAAAGGGAAACATATTCTAATTTCACATAAGGGACGATTATAGAAGCTGCAAAATAACCTATAGTTCTGTCTTTAATTATTACCTTATTGAAGTGTGCAATATCCACAAATTATGTACTTAAAAAATAATTTGAAGTACGAAAATCAAATAATTCAAAGTTATATGAATAAAAGTTGACGTCATCATAATATCATTAATATTCTTAATATGCTAATAACAACTATTATTTACATAAAATTAATCAAATTTATTGATAATTCAAAATTATATGAGTAAAAATTGACGTCATCATAATATCATTAATATTCTTAACATGCTAATAACAACTACTATTTACATAAAATTAATCAAATTTGTGAAGTTGTTTAAATTCTTTATCATTAATCTATAAAATATATAATGTGTATCACCATTTACTATCATCAAATCGTGTGTTGATTGTCCCATTAATTTATATATATATATATATATATGTTATAAAAATAAAACCAAACTTACCTGTCTATTAGTTATCCATTTAAAAGATTATATATTTAATTATTACTTTATTGAAGCTGTCCACAATTCATAAAATATATATATATATATATATATATATATATGATGTGTATCACGGCTCACTATCTTCAAACCATGGGTTAACTGTCCCATTTAAAAATAAAATAAAATAAATAAACATTGAAAACCCAAACTTATCTATCTACTAGTTATCGATTGAAACGATTATTGGTTGTGTTGCATGAATAAGGTCCTAATGTGATAAACGCAACCAGTTTCTATTCATGTATGGGCAAGTGTGTTGAAAAGTGAAAATAATTAATTTTAGGTAATCATATATTGATTTATTTATTTATTTATTTATTTATTACCAATAATTAATTTTAATGTGCATAAAGTGATTCAATTCAAGTTTGAATGGACGTAACTGTGGAATATAAATTTGTCTTTAGGCAAATTTAGTTGTCAAAACAACTCCAATCGAATTATAAATTTTTAATTCAAATTTTCAAAATTTAAAATCGAAAGCGGAATTGAAGAAGTAATCGCGTTTATACGTCGATACACTCTGTAATGATAAAAACAATGGCTTGGGAAGGTATGTCAGTGTGAGAGGACACTTGGGTGATTCAACAATAAGCTTAGGAGAATTTTTTCATTATGTCTAATTTGAACCGATTCAGCAAAACTTGAACCGGTTTAACTTTTAAAGGCAAATGTTCAAGTCTGACCAACTTGAACCGATTCAGCCCACCTAAAGGGATCAAGGCACTTGCGAAGTGTTATTGATCTACCATCAATCATTTTATAAGATTCAAGGAGTAAGTCTGAACTCTAAAGTTGTTGGACGGAAGGTCGCAAAGATAAGAGTGTTCAGCAAGTTGGGTCTTGGTAGAGTGAAGGGATGTGAGCCTAAGTCAAAGTTCGATGTACTTTGCTTCATACATAGTGGATCTTTTACGCTAGGGATGGTACAAAAATTCTCAACCCTTTTCAATTGGTTTCCTCATTAAAATCTTGGTGTCATCTCTCTAACTTTGCTTTACTTTTCAATATTTATTTTTGTGATTGTGCATGAATGTTTAATTGATCATATTTGTGGGTAAATTAATCAATCACAAAAATTAGACAAATTAATCTATTCACCTCATCTAGGTCATTTAGAGAGTTAATTACAATTTAATCAACTGTTCATTTCCGCACCACATAACTCACAATAACAAGTCATGAGTCAAGATCTTGTACTAGCGATCTTTTACTATAGTGTTTTTTAATATATTAAAATTGTGTTTTTATACATTTATTTTATATTTCAACATAATTTTAGTACGTATAACAAATGTGTTGAAAGATACTTTAACGTTTTATATTATCTAGGAAGAGATTGTTGGTACTTATATATTTGTGAACATTTTCTAATTGTATAACATATTTTGAAAATCATAAATACGGAATTTAATCATTGTGAGTGTGAATTATTTATATGAAATATAAAATCACCTATGATTCATACGAAATTTTTTCTCTCTTATTTCTGAATTCGAAATGCGACAGGGAAGTTGTGCAGTAAAAGAATTTTAGATGTAGATATATGAATTTATGAACTATGATATACATTACGCGTACTTATAGTTCATATTTCACTAATTAAGTCAGAGAGCTAGATGTTGGTGTTTGAATTCCAAAATTTAAAGATGACAAGAAAATGGTGGTGTCACATCCTAATTTATAACATTCCTGAATTGGGAAATTTGAGTTTTTCTATTATTACTTTATTAGTTAACATGACCTGAAACACGCTTGCCGCGTTCGCGAAACACATGGACCATAGCAACTTGGCTTGTCTAATGGAAAGACTTGGTCTCAGATGGTCAACCCATCACTCCACTCAAGCATGTCTGCTACTAATTAACACGCTTAAACCCACAAATAATTACCTTAACCTTCATAATTAGTGTTATATGGTGTTTAAGAACAAATATGTTTTGGTTGTTAAGGGTGGTTAAGAGTATACTGTAATAGACTTAATACTATTATAAAAATACAAGTTGGGTGGTGAGAGATAGAGAAAAGGAAAT